AGCCACCGAGGGAATCCTGGTGGTGGTAGGAAGCACCATGACCCTGACAGCAGGCCTCATCAGCAACTCTGGACGACAATGGACTACCATCTTCAGAATAAATAAGGATTATCCCTGAATTCCATTCCTGGGTCAACTCTTGTTCAAAATGTCTTACCAAGGCATCTTAATACAAGCAGACCCCTTTTCACCCTCACTGAAAGCCTTAAGAGTGTACTGCAATGAGGAGAGAGAAATGAACCTGGAAGAAAGAAGTGAGATTTAAGAAACAAGAATGAACAAAACAAATTCTCAAAGTATCAGTAAATATAATTAGTTGATTATATAAATGAACCTTTTGTCTTTAAGAGGTGCAACTAAAATTCTAGACATGATTAAGGAAGGTGGGAATGAGAGATTGAATTCATTTCTAAGGTGTGCCAGTATCTTTGCTTCAGTAATTCATTCTCCATTTTAAAAGATGCTTGTGTGTTAAGAATTTAAAGATAGGCAATTGAAATATGACCTAGAGCCTGCAAAGGAGCAGAAGGCCGATATGGGGGAGAACTTGACCCACACAGTAGTGAGTGGGAAAGGAGAGGAGGAGGAGGAATGGTAAAGAAATGCATAACTAATTCAAATGTAGACAGATCAGTTCCCTAATGGCATGTAACAGAGGGAATCTGGATCTGTGTGCACCTAAAAGCATGGCTCTGAAATATGTAAAGCAAAAACTAACAGAATTACAGGGAACAATGAATAAAGCCACGGGCAATACTAGATATTTTATATTAACTACTTAGAATGGATAAATAAAGCAGACAAAAAATAGAATACTGAAAATATAAATAACAAGCTCCATCCTCTGAACATAAATGTAAATCAGTTCCTAACAAAGAATAACTCATATTTTAACACATTGAACAATTAAAATTAATCATATCCTAAGATATAGGATGCTTTAACAATGTTATTTGACTATATGAAATTAATATAGAAATCTATATTCAAAGGATAGTTTTTAAATGATTTCTGAAGTCCTAAAAAATTTATTGATGAATATTTATTTTATTCATTTATTTATATGTGGTGTTAAAAATCAAACTCAGTGCCTCACACATACTAGGCAAGCGCTCTACCGCTGAGCCCCAGCCCCAGCCCCCTAAACAAATTTCTTAATGTCACTAATGGAGAGAAGGTATACACGACTGAACCACAATGAAATATGTGGAATTTTTCTCCAAGTGGCACCTGGAAGAATATGTACAACCTTAAATGCATGTGTTAAAAATTAAGAAAGAAGAAGTGAATGTGCAATTCAGGAAACTAGGAAAAGAAGCCTAAGTAAGTATGAAGGAAATAAATGGAAAATTTAAAAGAATATGGCCAGCAAAATGAGAAGTCACTTTAAAGGGACAAGATTGTCAAATCTTTAGCAAAACTCAGGAAGAAACCAGCACTAGATTAATAATACTAATTTAAAAAGGAGCATAAGTTGTTGAAAAGATTACAAGCTGGTGTAGAGAATATAAACAATGGGATTTTATAAGGATACTTTAACCTTGACACCGAACCCAGACAAGGGTAATATGATAAAAAATACTAACTCAGAAGGAAAAACCACCAGTAAACAGAACCTGATGCTCAGCAGCTGCACGCGTCTAGATCAGACCTTCCTAGTCACGACCAAGGAGGGCTTAGGAATCCAAAGATGTATCGGCATCAGAAATCTTCCTGAATTCACCACTTTGTCAGGAGATGTAAAGTAAAATATAATTCCAGGTACATGAAAGTCAAAATTAAGCTTAATGATAAAAGCTTTTAAAACCAGAACTAAAGGGAGTTTTCTTAACCCTAATAAAGAGGCTTTTACAAAAAGGCCTTCAGTGGACATTTGTACTTGATGGTAAAGGCAAGAGTGTTCCCTCCTGGGCCTTATCACCCAGAGGTCCCAGCCAACACGCATGGGAGTGAATTAAGGATGAGTGCAGATAAAAATTTTAAAAAGTATCTAAAGAAGATGTCACTGTTTTTTCACCAGGAAAATCTACAGACAGAACTAAGGGGAGCTGAGCAAGTCTGCTGGATCATAGATGGACATAGAGCCACAGCAGTTAATTTTCTCAAATACTCATAACCCAGGTCAAGTCTGAGAAAATACCAGACAAACTGAGGGACGTTCTTCAAAATTCTGAACAACTATCACATCATGGAAAACGAGAGTGCTGAGAAGCTGTAGCCTGCCTGAGGAGAGTGACTACTGTGTAATGTGGGGTCCTGGGGGTTCCAGAACAGAAGGAAGGGATTCACCGAGACCTGGGTGAAGTCCACATGAAGCCCATAGTTCATTAGCATTGTGCTAGGACTATTTTTTTAAAAAAATATTTTTATAGTAGATGGATGCAATACATTTGTTTCATTTTTATGTGGTGCTGAGGATTGAACCCAGTGCCTCCCACGTGCAAGGCAGCACTCTACCAACTGAGCTATAACCCAGCCCCTAAAACTGTTTTGACAATATCCTGTACCAAGGTAATGTAGGACATTATCAAGGGAAACTGTGTGAAGAATCTTTGTATTGCTTTGCAGCATTTACGGAAGACTGAAATTATTTTAAAAATAACAAATGAGAAATCACCAGCAGCATAATTCATAGGAAAAATACCCCCTAAAGTCAAATAAGGATCTTATAGGAAAAAATAGTACATTGTATTATTTATGTCTGTAGAATACACATGTATATTGACTTAGAGCACGGTCAGAGATGAAAGGTCTTCATAGCATAACATTTGCAGTTTTCTCTGAATCACTCTGGATTTAATAATATACTAATCAGTATCTCAGGATATTTTATCAGACTGATTCTGAATATCATTTGAAAGCTCTGGGGCTAAGAACAGACACTTTCGAGAAACAAAGTAGGGCAGTTGCCTTGAAGTTGTCACAGCATTTTGAAGTTTTAGTAATCAATGCGGGGGGGGGGGGGTCAGGTGGACCAATGGGACAGAGTTCAGGAACAGGCTCACTTGTACATGAAAACATATGTCAGGGGAAATTACATCCCTGCTATAGGACATATACAAAAGTAAATTCAAAAATCTACAACTGACAGTTATTAGACTATCTGCATGACCTCAGTATGGAGAAAATTTTCTTAAATAAGACATAAAACTAGAAACCTGAAAGAAAAGATTGTTAATGTTTATACACTCTTCCAAGACACCAGGTAACCATGGCCTTCCTAATGAGTGTGGGGGTGGGAGTGGGGGACAGGAAGTAATTGAAGCTGGAACACTACATTTTATTTGCCTGTAAATATGACCTAGATGCAGTGTGGAGAATGGCAGAGGCAGGAGTTTGGAGTAGGTGAAGGTTATCTCCGGAAAATAGTGGCAGTTGGATTACCGTGGAAAGGGAAAGTGGGACAAATTTGGGATGTGCTCTGGGTAGAGAGTCAGTATGATTTGCTGACAAATTGAATGTTGGTGGTGGTAAGGAATAAAGGAAAAAAACCTAAATGAGATTTCTTGGCTAGAGCAGCTGGTGATGTTGGTACAAATGGGGAAAGGGAAAATTAATAATTGTTTCCAGTGTTCTTGGTTGTGGATAGTTGGTTACATGAGACTCTACTTTTGTGGAGAGTTCTATGCAGAGAATTGAAATTTGGGAATCTTTGGCATGCAGGTGGCATTTAAATCTATTTAGTTGAAAATGTAAGGCTGCTTCCCTGCTTCCTAGCGAGAAGCTATTAATGGAGAGTAGTGACTCAGTCCTGGGCAAGACCATGTAGCATTTAGAGGTTGAGTGAAGGAGAAGCCCAGTTGTGATGTATAAGAGGTGGTTGGTGTAGAAGAACTCCCAGGACTCTGTAGTGTCACCAAAAATAAGAAAAAATAATGTGGGATTTTGTTCACTATTGTTTGTTTGAATTCAGATGTTGAATGCTGCTGTAAGATCAAGAACGTTTCCTAGCTAATAGGGAATAGGTGAAATTGTCAGGCAGTTTCAGGCATGTGGAAGGAATGGATGCCTACCTAGCAAACATGTTAGGGAATACGGAGAGAATATGCAGTAAGGTCCTTCCGTTGTGACAATGGACTACTCTGTGGAGGGGCGGGGGCTGGGTACAGGGGAATGGAGTGGTGGCTGTGGAATCTCTTGAGAGCATATGGTATCATGGAAACAAATGATCCGGGATCCAGAAAAGCTGGATTGTGGAGACGGAGAACGAGTTCCTTAGAAATATGTTAAAACCACCTCTAAATCTCCCCAGATATTGGGATTCCCCCAGGAGCTCCAAAGCCGTTTTCACAGTGGGATCCCGGGTGTCCGCATTGTTTAACAGCTTCCCCGTTGAGCCTAAGGAGTGGCCAAATTTGAAAATATTTGACCTCAGAGTAGGAGCACACGTTCACCTCTAGTCCTGCTGCTAGGAGCTTGTTTTGAAGGTAGGTCTACACAGTGAGCACAGTGTTTTCATTCATATTTTATGTTTATGTTGCACTGCTGAAGGGCTGGGGAGTCTCAGAATGCATGCCCCCTCCAAGACCGCAGCCTCTCACCACAGCAAGCAACTACTGTTAACTCCTCCTTACCTATAAATACGTGCTTTAAGTTGGGTATATTCTGTGTGCTTTTAGGTAAACTGCTTTTAATAATAAACTGGGTCTTAGTGGGTTTTTTCTTTAAAATTAAAATCATTCCACATTTTTATTGGCCATATAAAATTGCAGTGTGGATTTACAAGAACACAGTTCAATTCTCTGCAGTGCACATTTTTAGTGACCATCCCTGTATGTACATCTCTGGGTATTTCCTTCGCCTTAGTTCCTTGAGAGCGGGATAGCTGGATCAAAGGGTACATTAATGGACTTTCGGCAGCTCATCGGCTGTACGGGTTTCTGCCCAGGAAATGCAAAACGCTTCCCGCTCACCCGCCACGCGCCCTTTGGTGGAGGGGCGGTGAATTTCCACCAGCCTCGCCACCTGCGCGTGTTCTCCACGCTCGAGGACACACTCACCGGTCCGCGTGGGCTCCGGCCACGGCCCATGTCGGTATCCTGATCCTCGGGCTCCACGGCAGTGCGCGCGGGCAGTCCTCGCGCGTTTCCCTGCGAGTGGCTAGTCGCGTCCCTCTTGCCCGTTTTCTGCCTGGTTTGGTCCTTGTTGGTTTGCAAGAGCTCGTCATTAACTAGTAGGATTAACCCAGCATTTTTCGTGCGTTCCCGGCAGAGTAGCCTCATCGTCCACGCTGTGGTTCGTCTTTAGACCTCTATGTGTGTTTTCCCAGATTTTCATTTTTCTTGTCGTTTAGTCAAATGTGTAAGTTTATCTTTTATTCCCCCCATAGGTTTTGCTTTGGGGCATAATTTTTGGGCATTTTTCCGGTTCACCCATTTCTTTGGGGGTGCACCTTCCCCACCCCGCCCCCATTTCCAGACCCTGCTTCGGCCCCTAGCTCCCGCGCCCGCTCGGTTGACGTCAACGCCAGCCTTCGCGCCAAGCTGTTGCCACGGCAACTGCTGCCTGATCCGCAAGGCGCGGAGGCGTGGCGAGGGCGGCATTGCCGCGGATTGGCTGGCGGAAGCCCCGCCTCTGCAGAGAAGCCTGACAAGGAGGCATCGGGCAGTGCTGGCTGCAGACGCTGGGCAGCTGCTGGAGGACGAGGATCGGAGGAGCCAGAGATGTCCACCCTCGGCTGGTGGCGCCGCCGGGCGCCAGGTGCTGTGTGGACGCGCTAGACGGGCTGAGCCGGGTGCCGTGCTTCGCTGCGCGGTGGGCAGGTGAGTCGCTGCCCGCCTGCAGGAGCGCACCCTCCCGGACTTTGACCGCGGAGGAAGGACGGTGTCCAGGTCGCGCCCTGCGGGCTCGTGGCAGCTGTCTTGTGGACCCTCAGGAGGGGCAGGCAGAAAGGTGCTGGCGCGATCATGCTGCGGGCTGCACAGGGCTTGTAGCAAGACTGTGCTCCGCACCTGTGGGAGTCGCGGGAGGGGGTGGCCAGATTGCCGCAGGACTGCCGTCCCGCTTGGCTGGGGTCTCGGGGCTCCGGGGGTCTCCGGGCTCTGCCACGCAAAGCATAGTTGCCACTTCGGCCAGTCGGGCTGCATGTGGGAAGGTGCCGGAGAGCGTAACACCCTGAGGAGCCGAGTCCAGACAGGGGGACTTCAGGGTACCATCCTGAGGCACCCAAGCCCTGGGGACAGACGCCGCGGGACCACCCCATCGCGGCAGTGACGGGTCTGCAGCCCGCGCTCAGTACTGCGCTGCCTGCTGGGGGAGGAGCTTATTTTGCCGCAGTGGCCATGGGAGGGGCCACAAGCCACTGGGGGTGGGGCCAGTCTTACGTGGGAGGTGTTTTGGGCTCTGCCGGCTCTCCGGGCGCCCTCTGGTGGCGGCGGGTTCTCTTGGACGGGATCTACGCGCTTGCCGTGCAAGCGTCATTCTGATTGGTTGTCTGAGATTGGGGCGGAGCCAGGGCTTCTGCCACGGCTGCCTCTTGGGGTTGTGGCAGTCTTGTCTGGCCCCGCCTGTCTGGCGCCATCTTTAAGGGGCAGGGATTTGTTGCGCAGGTGCAGTCTTGGCTGATTGCTGTGTCGGGTTGGGAATGCGGGTCGTGTCCTCGGCAGTGCCTGGAGGCTGTGGGGTGCTGGCAGTGGAGGTGCCACCCTGACTGCTGTCTTTTCTGGTTGGTTCTTTGGCCCAACCTGCGACTTCAGGTGGAGCCAGGTGCTGTGCGCCTAATTTGCCGTAGCTGCCGCGGTACTCTGGTCTAAGGGACAGAGCGGCAAGTTGCAGTATTCCCGCGGCTTCTCCTAGGGTGGTGCGCACTAGAGTTTCATTCTGTTATTGTCTGGGAACTTTTTTTTTTTTTTAACCCTGGAATGTCTCAGGCTCCAACTCTGGAAGGTGTTGAAAGCGGGAAGCAGCAAAAAATGTGTTGTACGTTGGTGTCTTGTGGACGGGCGGGAGGGGTGCCTCGTCCTGAGTGACTCTCCCACCCATGGTGTGGACTTTGTTGGCCACAGAAGGGCGCTCGGCGCTTGCTGCCGCAGGCGCCATCCTGAGTGACAGCTGGGCTGGCTGCGGAGTGTAGATCGGAGGGAGGGGCTGTCTCCTGAGTGACTGACAGCGCTCAGATCCCGCCCACTCAGGCACCATCTTTTCTGGCCACCTGGGGGCGTGTGACATTTGCTATGCAGGTACCATCTTCATTGACCGCTGAGTTGGCTACAGGGGATGGGCACAAGAGGGGGACCGTCTTCTGGGCCCCGCCCACGCTAGCGTGGTCTTCGCTGGCCGCAGGGGAGCGCCCGAGGTTTCCTGTGCGGCTCCATCGTCACTGACTGTAGACTGGCTGCAGAGGGTGGGCCCGAGGGAGGGGCTGTCTTCTGAGCGCCTCAGAGGGCCTCCGTCCACCCTGGCGCCATCTTTGCGGGTCATTGGGGGCGGCCTTTTGTTTTCTACCTGGATGCCGATTTGATAGCAGTGCTGGCTACAGGGGGTATGCCTGAGGCGGATCTGTTTTCTGAGTTACTAATGAGCCCGAAGAGCCCACCCACCCTGGCGCCATCTTTGCTAGCCACAGGGGAGATGCCTGACTTTTGTATGATGGCGCCATTTTCATGGACAGCGGCTGGCTGCAGGAGGCGGGTCCAAGGGAGGGGCTGTTTTCTGAGTGACAGGGACAGCAGAGCCCCACTCGTCCTGAAGACCTCTGCTAGTCACAAGGGGGCGGTTGACGCTTACTGCGCAGGTGCCAGCTTCATTGGCGGGGCTGGCTGCAGGAGGGCGGGCCCAAGGGAGGGGCTGTTTTCTGATAGGGACAGAAGAGCCCCGCCCGCCTTGGAGCCATCTTTGCTACCACTGGGGGGCGCCTGATGCTTTCTGCGCAGGCGCCATCTTTTTGGGCGGACTGACTGCAGGGGAAAGTTCTAAGGGAGGAGCCATCTTTCAAGTGACAAGGATGGGGTAGAGCCACGCCTACCCTGGAGACATCTTTGCTAGCCACTGGGGGGCACCTGATGCTTTCTGCGCAGATGCCATCTTCATTGGTAGGGGCTGGCTGCAGAGGGCAGGCCCAAGGGAGGGGGCTGTCTTCTGAGTGACAGGGACAGCAGAGCCCACCCACCCCGGAGCCATCTTTGCTAGCCATAGGGGGGCGTCTCAAATTTACTGCGCAAGCTCCATTCTCATTGGCAAGGGTTTGCTGCAGGGGCGGGCCCAAGGGAGGGGCTGACTTCTGAGTGGTGGGCCCGCGGATCCCCACTGGCCTTGGTACTTTGCGTGTTGGCCGAAAGGTGGCAGCCCAGGACTTCTGCGCAGGTGTCATGTAGAATGACAGCCGGACTGTGGGCGGGCCACAGTCATGTTCTTTCAATCTGTGCAGGTGTCATCAGGTGACAATGGCCCACCAAGCCCCGGCCGCCAAACTGGCTGGGTGCCACACATGCTGCCGTGTTGCCACAGGGTGGGGCTCAATACTTAACCTCGCTCTCTGCAGACATAGGTCCAGAATTCAGGGGGTTGATATACTGGGGGGGTATGGAGGGGGGGCTGAGCATATGATTTGGGGGTCTGGGTAATTTGGAGGCTGTGGGAGAAGAAGGGATTTTACTCAAATTCCACAGCTGGAACAGCTGTAGGTGGTCCTGAGAGGCAAGGCAAGGCAAGGGGAATTGGGGGTGGGGCGGGGGTGGTGATCTGGGCAAGGGCCTGGCAAGAGAGGCTGGCCACGCCCATGGCTAGGAGAGTGTGGAGCTTGCACAGAGCTTCTGGCAGTCTGCAGTAGCTGAGCATGTCTGAGGCTCCAGGCTTGTCTCCACTCTAGCTTTTAAAGTCCCTGTCTCCTTTCCCCTTCTGCCCTCCAGGAGGTAGGAAAAGTGACACACAGGATTCTTCCTTTCCAGTTGTGGTTAATGTATCCGTTTATTAATGGCTAATATTAATAATGGCTGACACTTATGGAGCATTAGTAAATGGCAAGTAGTTTCTAATAAGTAAATTACTTGATATTACCAAAATGTACTCGCCTGACCCTGGAACAGAAACCAGAAATGTGATGTGAAGCTCCCTCCCCCGGGGCCTCCAGTTGGTTGAATAGATGCTGTTAAGTGCCCTGGGGTTTTAACTATGTATTATGAGTCCACTGGGAGCGTGTTGATGAGCCCTAAAGCATTACACATAATTAAGTAATGATACAAGTGTCTAATAGTATTGGTGATGATAGCATTAAAGTTCTAAAATAGGTAGTTCCTTCATTCTTAAATTTACAGCAAAATTAAAATTCTGGTCCTACTGCACTGACTATTAAGTGACAGAACCGGAGTTTGAATTCATGTTTCTAATGGGTACCTATTGGTATACCATGTGATTTCTGTAAAACACAAGTCAATTTTCTATTTGTAAATGGCATTAAGTTAGTTTCTAATAGTTTGCCTAGAAAATTAATAGAATTGTGAAAACTAGTGTAAATGTGAGAGCTAAACACTATACCTGGTATTGTGTAAGAGTTCTTACTCAGTCGGTTTTCTCCAGTTTTTATGTGCAGCATGTATCTTTGCCTTTAGAGGAATACTTAGGGCCACGTGCATAAGTGGTTGTATGGATGACTGAATTGCTCTCTTAATCCAGAACCCAGAGGTTTGGAGACATCCCAGAGCAGACTTCAAGGCCCTTGCCATAACCTGGTCAGGAGGCCCTGAGCATAGCAAGGATACAGCATGGACCTCAGGAGTAATGCCCATGACCATCATCCTGGGCAGTGAGACTGCTCTCCTGGTCTCACTGGACCTGTGCTGTTGTGGGAGATACAGGTGGACCTGTGTGCTTGTTGACCACTGAGGAGCCTGTAACTGCAAAGTAAATTGGGTGCTTCATGTTTTGTTTTTCTTCCCACAGCTCTGCCTTCTTGATCTTTCACCTTCTTGGAGACAGCTGGCAAGAAAGAGGGACTAGGTCCAAGCACTAGGTGGCTGAGTCCAGGTGAGTCGTCCTTACTACTCACACTGCCACACTTGCCTCTGGAGGGAGCCCTGTGCTCCCACACCTTGACATTTCCCTGCTGTGCATAATGTTCACATAGCCTCAAGAGCACCGTCAGACCCTCACATTCTTCTGGCTGTGTATGCACTGGCCAGAAGTTCTCCTCTGTGATCTCATGCCGTCCCTCTTGGTGTCCTACCTCTTTTCCTACCAGTCAGCCACTCCTTTAGGCCTCCTCTTTCTCTCGTGGGGTGATTTAAGTGTGAGAGATTTGGTTCATCTGCCAGTATTGATCAAGTACACTTTGTGCTGGGCACTGGGAACATGGCTGTAAGTGGGAAGGGAGGTGTTTTCATGGAGCTTGTAGTCTCATGGAAAACACGACTGTGTGATTCAAGTCTTTTGGGGCACATTTGTCAGGGGGAGCTAGTGTAATCTGGGAAAGACCTTGTAAGTCCTCCCTGAGGTGGTTGGGCACTTTAAAAACTGCCTCCTAAAGGACCATGAGTTGTGTGTGTCATGGGGAGAGTAGTCTAAACAGAGGGTGAGATGTTCCTGAGAGATGCAGAGACAGGAGCCAAACTCCAGGACACCTAGAGCAAGAGAAGAGCCCAGT